GGTTTTGGTGAGAATCGTTTGGGTGTTATATATGCAGTGCAGTGTTTGATAATCAGAAGAACTTCTTTGTTTTTGATTTTTCAATAAAAGCTAGAACCAATCCGAATACTATTTTGAATAGCCCGAAGATTTGACATTACCGAATCTCGGTGTTTCCTCTTACATCAATACCGATTATAGACCTAAAACGTGGTAACGTCCATATCTCGGTAATCAGAAGGTATTAACCCTCAAAGTATTTCAATTTTCTGAACAGAAAACTTGGTCTGCGAAGGTTGAAACCAAGTTATGTTTGCTCAGCTCACCCTTCTCTTTCGAATGATGCATGATTCGATCGAATATAAAATAGTATATGAATTTTGAATTACGCGCGCCTCATCTTTGAGGTCGTTTTTTTCCAAAAACCCGGATGTTTCGATTTTCTTCAATAATTGCGTCGACAAGAAAGTGAAGCGTTCAGAAGCCTTAAAATGACGAGAAACGGAAGTTTTGCTGCGGTCGATCATTTTATCATTAGAGCTTACAAGTTCAAGTGTATACTCTTCTGAAGCGATTATTACATTTTTATTCTGATCAATCAGCTATTGAACTACTTTATCTCTCCTAGGTGTCATTAAACTTCTATGTGAAAATGGTGCATCACTCGATTGTAAAGATGTAGCTGGTTATTCATGTATTCATCATTGTACAACATCAATGGCTAATCATTTATCTATTGAAATAGGAAAATATTTAGTTGATTAAGGTGCAGGTGTTAATACTGAAAACCGTGCTGGCCGTGTAGCACTTTTAGAACCTATTATGTGTATGAGAGAAGATTGTGTTGAATTTTTATGTTTATATGGTGATGCTGATCCAACTTTAACAGATTCAGATGGTGTTGCACCCATGTCACTCGCAAGAATGTTTCCAAAAATTCAACTAATATTTAGTAAACGATTGAAGCGAAAAGCGTTTCTAAATAAACGGGTGAAATTACATGATCTAAAAGGAGCAGGTGGGAAAATTGTTAATTCACGTTTTATCATATTTCTAGTAGAACTCTTGCATGACTCCTAGTGAACATCTTTTCTATTATGCCATTAGATGATGCTGCTGGAACGTTGAATGGCTCTGAAGGTACCGTTCTCAGGTATGATCCGTCAGATCAACGGTTTCACATCCAGTTAGACAATGATGAGAAACGTATGCTCTCAATTAAAGAAGAAAATTTAGAATTGATCGAAAAATTACAAGAATGTGCAGCAAAAGGATGTAAAAACTTTCGTGATTCAAGTGTCAAATGTCCTCGATGTTTGGTGACTATATATTGCAGTGATTCATGTCGTCGCCTCACTGGTCGAAACACAAACAGATTTGTCAAAAGTTAGCCAAAGAACATGTCATGATCGAACCAGGTACTCGTTATCAATTTTTTACGATATTACTAGCAAGATCATCTAGAGACACGCTAGGGAACATATAACCCATCTCGCAATTAGAAATCTGCATCGTCACTGGGTACTAAGACATCGTGTTACATGAACGGTTGGAAGAAAGTTGCATTTTCATTCTGTGACTTAACATTCTATTGCTCGTTCAAATTTGAATTGTGGAGATTATTGAATTTTCGAAACAGTATATTATATGTTATTTAAAGTGTGATCCTTGACCAGTCTCATTAAGGGTCATTTTTTTCTAGTATTTGATAACAAAACAGATCCATTGATAGGATCAGTCGAAGAAGTCTTCGTAGCGGATTTCTGTAGTTAAATACACTGCACCTCTTGACAAACACCGAACTCTGGTTTCAAACGATATATAGCGCTCCATTTAGCACTGAACCTAATTAGTTTTGAAAAGCGTTACCTGTTCGCCAGATTTTCCGAAGGAACAAGTTTGAACGATATTTGAAGTATAGTCTAACAGGCTCCAAAACCTGTGTGAAAAGCACAGCATACAAAAACAGTGTGAACTATGATAGAAGAATACAGCTAACATTAGCTAACACCCAGGCCGTGAAAAATGAGATAAAAAATGAGCCATGAATGACTCATTTATGTGCTATATATGGCTCATTTTTAAATCATATCTCTCCCATATTTATCTCATTTATTGTATCATAATGTAGTCATAATTATGTCATTTTTTTATGGGATAAATATCATCTTATTATGGTCATCAAAATATGAG